GTAAGCTCCGGAAGTTGGTGATGGACAGGGAAGCCTGGCGTGCTGCAGTTCATGGGGTTGCCAGGAGTCAGACACGCCTGAGTTACTGAACTATTTATAGGAATATAGATTAATGCATCTAGTTTGGCCAGCAATGTGACACATATTTAAATGTAAAAAATATTCACAGCAGTTCTATTTTTTGCATATATTTTATAACATGTGTATAATAAAGTATATAAAACTATGTTCAATGCAACAATTAATGTAACAGAAAAAAAAAAGAAAACAACCTAGGAAAATCATTAGGCAATTTGTGGTGTATCAACAGAACAGAATACAATCACAGCCATTAAGAATGACACAAAGAAACAGCAACAGTTCTCAAACATGAATGTGCATTAAAATTCACCTGGAAAGAAAGTGAAAGTGAAGTCGCTCAGTCGTGTCCGACTATTTGGGACCCTGTGGACTGTAGCCCGCCAGGCTCCTCCATCCATGGGATTTTCCAGGCAAGAGTACTGGAGTAGGTTGCCACTTCCTTCTCCAGAGGATCTTCCTGACCCAGAGATGGAACCTGGGTCTCCCACATTGTAAGCAAGATGCTTTACTGTCTCAGCCACCAGGGAAGTCCAAATTCACCCAGTGAGCTAGGTAAAATGCCCACTGTCTCCAACCCCTGGGATTCTGATTCAGTAAAACTGAAACTGTGGTCTAGAATCTTCCTTTTTAGTAACACAGAGGATTTTGATTAAGGTGGCAACATTAGTCATTCTGAAAAATACTGGTTTGTAATAGTGGAAAAAGCAGTTTCTAGAACAATATGTATTCTATGATCATATTTTTGTTTTTTAAAAATTAAACTACTTGTAGATATAAACAAGGATGATGTATAGTTCAAAGCAAACATGTGGGGAAAAGTCTGGGAGGATATAAGTTTGTAACAACAGTGACCTCTGTGAAAAAATAATATATTTGGGAATATGAGTATGAAAGAGAACTTTACTAGTTAAGTCTATAAATATCTGTACTATTTGCATTTTTATACCAAAAATATACTTATATATCACTTAAAATGTTAAGAAAATAAGCCATAATAAAAAGGTAAACTATATTTTGATGTCATGAGTTAGTATTAGTCACCTAAATGGAGACTCACTGTCAGGGGGCGTCCACCTTTACGGGAGCCAACATGTAGCATTTTCTTCCTTTGTGCGTCCTTGCTCAAGGACTCTGTTCCGTATCAGCTCCTGGAGTGCAGGAACGGGTAGAGCTGCGGGCAGTTCTCAGGACTGAGACCACGGGGCGGAGCGCCTGCTTGGACTCTCTTCAGCGACCGTGTGCTGAACAGACTGTCCACTTTGTTACAACTAGTGGGGTTTCATTCTTTTTAATGGGTGGGCGATCATTTTACTGGAGATACATAAACATGCGTTTCTGCTGGTAAAATACCCTTGTTCCACTATAGACTTGGGCCCCTCGCGTCCTTCGTTCTGCCTCTGGCTGATTCTCTGGAGTGTGGAAGCCTGCCAAGCTCCCTTTCTCGCCTGGGCCCTCAAGACCTCCGTGAGAGGACGCCCTGTGCCTCTGTGAGCGGTACAACCCGTGTGTGGGCTCTGCTGGTTTTCCACGTGACCCGAGGGACATTGCTCTTTCTCTTTCTCTCTTTCATCAACTCCAGTCCCCAGGTCCTGGTCTGTAAAAGACCCCAACAACTCACTTTTGTAGGATTATCAACTAATAATATAACAAGCTGGTGGTATTTCTTTTCTTTCATATTCCTTAATTTATTTTTAATTGAAGAATAGCTTTGCAGAATTCTGTTGTTTTCTGTCAAACATCAACGTGAATCAGCCATAGTATTTCTTAATTACTCTTTGCCACCAGGCAAGACATTCCTCTTTTTATTTCTTTCCTTTTATATTTTTGTGGGCATACACACATCTTCTCTGCAGTGTGGTAACAGTTCCCTTCCCACTCTAGGAAATTGCCTCTCCACAATACTAGGCCTCGTTTTCCAGCTTATACTTGAGTGAAAATCCTCAGGTATGGGTTTGGTAATATCCCCTGGTGGCTCAGACAGAAGAACCTGCCAGCAATTCAGGAGACCCGGCTTTGATCCCTGGGTTGGCAAGATTCCCAGAGAAGGAAATGGCTACCCACTCCAGTACTCTTGCCTGGAGAATTCCAAGGACAGAGGAGCCTAGTGGGCTACAGTCCATGGGGTTGTAAAGAGTTGGACACAACTGAATAACTAACACACGCAAATACAAGTAGTAAGGAACTTTTCCTTTGTGTGGTTTCCCAAGGGTAGAACACCAATGGGTGAAACAAGTGGGACTCTCTTTCTTAAAAGAAGCCATGGTGGTATTTGGGAGCACGGCCTGGTGTGAGGACTAAGGACTATTGACTTCAAATAGGAATTACCTCACGAGTTTAAACTTGACAAGTTATCTACTGAAGCAGAACATTATGATGGCATTTACTATTGCAGCATGGTTATCATTGCATGAAGCTAATTAGATAGTAATTACACACTTAACAGATTTCTAGGTAACCAGGAAACAGTTCTGTGTATTTTGCATTTTGGTATCACAACATTAATTAAAACACAAACAGCCATATAATTAACATATGACATTATAATGCATGAATCACAACAAATTATCTTACTAATGGATAATGATTTTAGCTTAAATTATTCTTAAAATCTTTATAGAATTAAGAATTATTTCATTTCTAACTTGTTTTGACTCTCCTAAGCAAAATGACTGGAGAAGACAATGGCAACCCACTCCAGTACTCTTGCCTGGGAAATCCCATGGACGGAGGAGTCTGATAGGCTATACAGTCCATGGAGTCACCGAAGAGTTGGACATGACTGAGCGACCTCACTTTCACTTTTCACTTTCATGCATTGGAGAAGGAAATGGCCACCCACTCCGGTGTTCTTGCCTGGAGAATCCCAGGGACAGGAGGCCGGTGGGCTGCCGTCTATGGGGTCGCACAGAGTTGGACACGACTGACGTGACTTAGCAGCAACAGCAAGCAAAATGACACAACCAGCAGACCCTTAGCAATATCTTATAGACTCCATTTAATAGCTAGAAGAGGGAAACAATCAATCCTCACCTGCTTAATTTTACAGATGAGGAAAAAGTCACAGTGATCCTAGGTGGTCTCTGACTCCAAAAGTCCAGTGTTATCCACTGCAGATGCTGTCCCACCAATTCCCTTTCTAAAATTTCCATTACTCTTTCACATAACTGTTCATTTCCACCTAGATTTATGCCTGTGATTATGAGATTTATTCTAATCAACAACTGAGTAATTTTATCACATGCATCAAAAATCCTACTTCCAAACTGATCCATCCAGGAAGCTTTCTCTGACTCCAAGGATAAAAATTTCAGTCTGTACCACTATCAAATCATCCAAGAAAAATCTTCCTTTTGTGTTTATTTAGCAGAACTTACATATATAGAAATTATATTTTCTTAACTAAAACCAGGTCGCATGATCTGTGCCAAGCATTTTTTTTTCAATTCATAAGTTTTTATAAATATTTAATTTGAAAATATCAAATAAAAAATAACATAATAAGTTGATCTTATGGACAAAAATAAAATTATATGCAATTATGGCTGTAGTAAAAATTACTAACAACCTTCTTCAACTATCCCCTCACCTGTATCTAGAAACCCTCAGGTAACTTCCAGCTTTGTAGAGGAAGAAGGCAGCTATCCTATCCATCTGCAGCAGTTAACACCACCTCCAGCTGAATCCTTTGTTGACATTTCACACTGCTTATCAATTTAATTCATTTGCCAAAGGAGATGTGAGGCTGTACTCTGTGTGTGAAAACAACAGTTCTGAGAAGACAGGTCGGCTTCAGCTCTAGGACACCAAAGCTGTGCAAGACCACAAAGCTGGCGCCCACGGCCAGTGAGTGCACCTGCTGTGAGATGCTCCGCCCTGCCCCACACTCGGGCATTAGACCGACTCAACAGTCGGCCACGGAACAGAAGCTGAGAGCATCGAAACAGAAATATGCCTTTTAAGTTTTTCCTCCAAATTAAATAACTAATGATTTGCTTTATTCAAGCTGAAGATACAGGACATATCTTAGAAGAAAAATGTTCCAAAAGAGTTTCTCAGATAATAAAACTCCAATATGGGGTTACAGTCCCATGGGTGATAGAGGAAAGAAACAGAAAAAAATTAAGAATGCGTGCAGGCTAAGTCGCTTCAGTTGTGTCCAACCCTGTGCGACCCCACGGACAGCAGACCGCCAGGCTCCTCTGTCCAAAGTATTCTCCAGGCAAGACTACTAGAATGGGTTGTGATTTCCTTCTCCAAAATTTAAGAATAAAAGTATTCAAACATTCCGTTGGCTTAAACTTTCCCAAGTAGAGCATATTAGTTTAGATGTAGAATCTAAGAAGGATTGAATCAGTATTTTCACATGAATTTCTGTAAACTGATGCTAAGAAAAACTTTAAACTATCATCAGTGTAAACTGGGGCCCAATATTCATGCCCAATATTTTAAATTAGAATATAAACCTTTGTTGCTAAAAAAAAAAAAAAAAAGCAAAAACTTAGACCCTGCATATACTGAAAAGAAACAAAATACATATGCCAAGGAGAAAAACTGCCCCAACACATATTAAGCCTTAAAATTCAATTTTTCTTTTATTTTATAGGAAAATGCATATTTTACAATGGATCTGTATGTCAATAAAACTGTATTAATAATAAGTCTTCAGTCATAGCCTTTAAGCAAAAACTTGGACTCCTAATACAGTGTTGCTTTGCTTTACCTATACCAGCCATAACTTCTTTTATCCAATTTGTAGACTAAGTTTGATTCCTTGAGTGTTTCACAGAAATTATTATATAATATTTAATGTATAATGACTAAATAATATTTAGAAATAATTATTGAAAAATTTGAAACAAACACTACTTTGTATTCTTATTTTATTTCGTTTTATTTTAAGTGTACTCAAGGATACTTACTTGATATAGAAGGTCTTTCTGAGGCAAAGGGGGAGATTGTTCTTCATACATAGGAGGTGGTTTATGTGTGGGTGGAAGGTCGATCCTGCATGAAAAGGTTTAAAAAATATGATTACCACAGTTCACAAAAGACAAAACAACAAAACAAAAAAGGGGAGGAGGAGCCATCAAGAGTCTCTTAAGTTTTGAGAATATTTTCCTCATACTAATATTTGTATTAGTATACACGTTTAATTCAGTTCTTACATTTCCATTAATCATATTTGGAAAAAAGTAAACTAGCTTTACAGGTTCTAATGTTCAGGAGTAATCTGAAATAAACAATTCTTCAAAAATTTAAAAGCAGCAGCAACTCATATAGAAGCGCTTTTTGAAAACTGTTATCAAGCAAGCAACCTAGTGTATAACGGCTTTCCTGGTGGCTCGGTCGGTAAAGACCTCACCTGCGGCGCGGGAGACCTGGGCTCGATCCCCGGGTTGGGAAGACCCCCTGGAGGAGGGCATGGCAACCCCCTCCAGTGTTCTTGCCTGGAGAACCCCACGGACAGAGGAGCCTGGCGGGCTACAATGCGTGGAGTCACAAAGAGCTGGACAGAACTGAGCGACTAAGCGCAGCACTAGTAAATGACTAATTAAGTACTGCATATTTTTCACACGTGACCATGCGTACCAACACTTTAAAATAGTCAACTGTGTGATGGAAAACACTTTCCCCCAAACTGTCATAACAGTGATTTGAAAGATGTAGGGCTTCCCAGGAGGTGCTACTGGTAAAGAACCCGCCTGCCAGTACAGGAGACTTAAGAGACAGGGGTTCAGTCCCTGGGTTGTGAAGATCCCACACAGGAGGGCATGACAGCCCCCTCCAGTACCCTTGCCTGGAGAATGCCACGGACAGAGCAGCCTGGCGGGCTACAGTCCGTAAGGCTGACAAAGAGGAGGGCATGATCGAAGCGACTTAGCACACACACACAGAAGACTGTGTCTTAAACCGGCCATGAAAAAATAAGTTTATACTGCTTTTTGGAAACACTTCTAAAATTAGTTTTCAAAAGCCATGGTCACCCTTAGAACACTGATCATGTAAATTAAGGTTTTCAGTCTACAAACCATTATAAATCTTCCCACCTGAAACAAACAGGCTATTATATCTTTGGGGAATGCATTTACCTTTGCCAAAATGACTTAAACTACTAAAAAAGTATTTTCATATATTTTAAAATTGTTATATTACAACAAAAATAGAATTAAAAATATCTTGTAGCTTTCTGCATTTTAGAAAGCAGCTTTTTATATAGACTCTTACTTTTGAAGATCACAGATAACTACTTTTCAGTAATTAAGATTAGCAAATCAAACAAAAATTTACCTATATTAAAAGATAAAGAGCATGAAAGCTATAGAGGCCAAAGTAATTAAAAATTCTCAGTAGTCTAATAACTTCTCAATGTGGTCATTAAATAATATTTTACATGATTAGAATTCAAACAATTAATAAAATAAATTACATGTATTACTAGCCTACTAGTAAAGTATGTTTTTGAAATTATAGAAGAGCTTGAGATAATTCAGCAACTAATACAAACTTAACCACAAACTAGTTACTCTTGAAATATTAAAGAAATTCAGTCTTGCAGGTAACAGATTGGAAGAGTATTTTACAGTTCTTTTATTTAAAGTAATTATTTCTTTTAATGTAATAAAAATTACAGCAAATGTATAGGTCCAAGGTGCCATAAGTCATTTAGGTGAGAAAACCAAGGTTTATGGAGGTGATTCATTCATGGTCATACTATTAACTTGATCGTAAGAGAGCTGAGACTAATACCCAGGTGCCCTTAACCCCAAAAGATTCGTTCTCTAACTGTGCCAGATTAGAGAGGCAAAGACATATACAAGGCATTTATGAAGACAGAAGAAGTACTTCCTTTGAGAGCTAGCCTTATATCTTCATATAAAAACACTAATAACCACACAAGAAATAATGCCATTTGTATAGAACTTCACAGTTCATAAACATCATCTTATTCTAGTCTTATTAAAGCCATATGAGGTAAGCAGGAAAAGCATTATTTATATTTCACAGGTGAAGTAACAAAAGCTGCTGATGGAATTAAGTGAACTAACTGGGACATAAGTCTTTTGACTATACAACAAAGTGCAATTTCTTTTTTATAACTCTATCTAACGATTAGGTCCAAAACATTCCTTTTTCTTTAAATAAAAAAGATGCACATTTTGTAATTCACCAAAATCAAATTCTTTAAGAACTTTAAAACTCAACGTATCTAATGACTTGGCAGCTGAAAGTTAAGTTATATCTATACATAAGACAGGCATATACAATCTGAAGAAGTAAACTTCTAAGACTTTTGTATCTGTCTTTCAACTACTTCATTGAAGACTTGCATCTTTATTCAGAAGGCAGGACAACATAAAGGGTCATTATGCTACCATTTGGAAAGATGTGTAATATACTGTAGGGAAAAAAAAAGGAATATACTTGTCTCTAATAGCCCCTTGTAACTGTTTATTTACCAAGATGTAGTTTGAGACTTTCTGATAAAACTAGCCATCTTACAGATACCTAACAGTATTTTTATTTCTATCCCTCAGACACTTTTCATATGAGTAGCTGTAATGATAAAGACTGACACATACTGGATATTCATAGTTGAACACCAGCAAAAAAGTTACCCACACTTTGTCGAGGTAGGCTGGTCTCTTTTTTCGAGGAGTCAACAGCACAGTCAGGAAGATGGCAATGATGAAGAGGGCAAGGACAGCTCCAATTACAGCTCCAGCTACGGCTATAGAAGAGGTCTGCTTAAATGGAACATCTGTAAAGTACAAAAATTAGGTTTGTCAAGCAATTTTACCAAGAATTCTCGAATTCCTGTCCTCTGATTTCTACAATGTGCAAGAAAGTTATTCAACCACAAGCTCAGAAGACCCCAAACTTGATGTCACTTTTTAACGCTAACACCCTCTTTGCAAGATGTAACCTTAGTACTCCAACTTTACTTTTTTAAAGTTATGAAAAGAATATCCCCCGTTACGTATGAATGAGTGAATCTACAGTCTATGGGCCAAGAATGTCTTAAGAAGCAAAGAAGGTGAAAACTAATTTCTCATTCTAAAAGATGATAAACAAATAAAAAATATTCAGTATGCTTTAATGGAGTTAGCCAACACAATATTCAGCTTTTATTATACTAAAAGAAATTCTATTAAAGAAACCAAAAATCTTCAAGAAAGGGCAAAATAACACTAGAAAACAGAAAATATCCTAGCTCTAATAATAAAGTCAAAAACTGACATTGCAAAATTTAAGTTTTTAAAACAGAAATGTGAATAAAACAGTACTTGTTGCAGATAACTTCCCTTAATTAACACACATGTAATACGTAGTACACTTTAAGGTACTGTCTCTACTACAAAATTATATAAATTCTTTATATAATTCTAAATATAATAATATATATATCTCCTGGCTACACACTATATAATTTCTGAATACCAATTTCTCATTTCCAGCCTGTAACATAAAAATTTTATAAGAAAGGATTTTAAAAACATATTTAGTAGTTAGCATTTCACACAATTTTTTTAAAAAGTCACCCTATTTTATGAACTCCCAAGTAAAAGACTTTACTAAAATTATTTTCAAATGTTAAGTATCATGGATATGACAAAACCATCAATCCTTATGTATAGGTATTATTTTGACAATTTCAGCCATATTACATCCAATAACTAAATTTTGCGGAATGACCTATCAGTTACAAAAAACCTTCAATATACTCAATAGAACATTCTATAAATGAAGATACTTCTGTTCTAAAGTAAATGTTCTGCCCAAGGTCAGTCAGTCAACGAACAGGAGAGAACACGGCACGAAATAAAGCTAGGTTAGGACAATGTTATAAACCTCTACCCTACCCTTTTGGGGAAAGAATGGTTTTTTGCAACATCTAACATAATCCCTTCTTTTGGGTCCCCTATTTGGAAATGAAGAGCTCTTTGTCTTCAAGTAAACCGATGCTCACATGCATCCTTAAATAGTTACTGCTGGGCTCCAGACAGGACAGGTTTAAACAGAATCAAAGCGCTATCAGCTTTGAAATATTTCACCTACTTACCATCGTAGCATTTCCAAATATAGTGTACTTAGGATTATTTTTCAACTGTTTTTATTCAAATGCGAGTCATGTTATGTTTTAGATTGCTAAAAAGAATGTTTCACTTCTTTACCAAGTATACAAATTTCCTAGCAAACTAACATCTTGGGTTTGTTAATATGTCATTTTATTAGTTTTATTTTAGACTAAAAATCTCATACCAATGAGTGCCAAGTAACCAATTTCAACAAGAACTCAAATACTGAACAGAATCTAAAAATACACAATTATTGTAAACAATATAACCAGCTTCATCATTCAAAATGTTACCCTTATTTGCTCATACATACCTGGTTCATCATTCATTGTTGCTCTTATCTCTAACCAGTACTAACTCCATTTGAATATGTGCTACATGAGAAAAAAATGGAAAACCAAGCCAAATATACTCTGCTTTTATAAATGTAGAAGAGACTTGGGTTGATTTAGGGCTAATCTTCTCATCTATACTATCACTTTTTCCCACCATATAAATTATAGTTCCATATTCAGGTTTTAACAATAGGCCAATTGAAACCTTTTAAGGTTACGATGCAAAGGTTATTTGACAAAATCCCCATGTGTCATGTATGTCACCTATTTCACACTAAAGTTTCCCTCTAAGAGATGTTTTTCTGTTCCTAAGCAGTAAAGTGACCCTATCACTTTTGCCCAAGTATGGAGAATTATAAATTTGAGTGTTCTTACTTTGATGATAATGACAAAGTTATACCATTTATTTATAATAAATATATTTATTTATAATAATATTTGTAGTATTTATATTTATAATACATTTATGTTATTTATAATAACTTAATTATATTATTAATAACTTAATTAAAAATAACTTGTTTATAATACTACTTCTGAAATTATTTTTCAAACACTCAGGTTACTTTTTGAATGTAATCAGCCCAAATTAAGATTTTCAAGGTACACTATAAATTCATCAAACCTCACATCTCCTACAAGAAAGCCTTTCATTTAACCTTAGCATTATTAAATTTGGTAGTGCTTTGTAATAAAACAAAACCAGACTTTTAATATCCTAACTCCGAAAATGTACTATTTTTAATACCCTGAAGTTAATTCTGAAGTCTAAATAGATATGAATCTTATTTAAATTATGGTCTACTTATCTAATTCTGTCCTGCTAGCCCTCTAATTCCAAGCTTTAGAATTCCATAACTGAGAGCTGACTCTATGTATACCATCACTCTTCCTTCTATCTCAATAAATATTAGAGCATATTTATTTCACCTGGCTCCCATCATTCTTTAATCATGTCTAACAGCTTTTTGCACACCTCTTCTTAGTATCAAAACAGGCTAGTAAGTGCTAAAATAAGAAAGTGGAAGAAAAGTTAGGTATGAATCCATTTACCAACTGGATATCCTACTCCACACAGGTAAACTAATTATGTCAAGTACATACATGCCATAATTTCATGTTTCATTTTTGATTTTTCAATTCTTCAAATCTTTAATTAAGAAAAGAAGAAATTATACATTTCAGAGATTAAGATTTTAAAGGTATTAACGGGTGATGAACACTAGTATGAAATGTAAATGAAAAGCTGAAATTTCTTGCATTCAAGTCAAAGATTTTTGACAAAATTTGAGAATTGAGCCCCAACACTGCCTCCCCACATCCCTGCCCACATAATCTACATAGTCTCTATACTCCAACAAAACCAGAAGGAAAAAAATTAAGTAAGCCAATGTATAAAAATTTGGTATTTTTAAACATCAAGCTAATTTACTGAGTGATTGACATAAAGCAACATCACCTTACCATCACTTAAGGAGATGTTCTACTAAATCTAATTATACGTTTAGAAGCAGCAGAAAACAAAGGGACAAACATTCAAATATTTAGCATTAAAGGATTGGTGCATGTCTCCCAAAAGAACATATTCCTGTTATCATGGTAGCTTATGAATCCATATACACTGGAAACCACCTCCAAAAATAGAAAAATAGCATTCCTCAGTAAAACCGAAGTATAGAAATATAAAGACACCATATATTTGTCTTATGGAGAAAACCACCAAAAATCAGTTACCAATAACTTTCATTATTTTTTGAAAAATATACATAAATATTACAGATATTAGATTGAACTAAAGTCCATGTTATCGCTCTGATATAAGTGAATAAAACCTACATAAAAGCTATTCAAACATGTGCTCACTTAATTCACATTTGAAACTGAGGCACTTTTATAGTTTTGAAGTTAAATACTACTATTCTATAGACTAAAATATGTGTTTCTGGCAATTTGCTAAAACCATTTTAAAATGAGTACAGAAATCTATAGTCCCTTATTATACTTATGTTAAAACACCAAATCTTAACAATTAACTGAAACGTCAAGTTTCATCCCTTTTTTTTCATTTCCTTCACCAAAACTTTATGTAATCCATCAACTGATTCACAGCTTAATACGATACTCTACAAACTTATCTTCCCAAATTTTATTTGGGTTTAAAATACAAACATATTCCCACACTATATGTCACTGTATTACCAATTTTCCCCATAAATATGCCCCACTCTCACTTTTCATAAAAAGCCCTTTTTAACACTTATCTGTTCAATATGACATTTAAGCCTCTATATCCATCCATATATTTATCTCACTACTTTTTAAAGAAGGTCCTCTATTTGGATCAGGAGGGTGTCCTTAGATTTTCATCCAACAAATTACCAATCGTAACCTACTCCGTGTCAGGTCTTGTTCTAAATGCTAGGAATGCAAGGGTAACTTTTATAGTCCCTCTCCTCACCATAGAAAACAAAATCCTCAAAATTTTATGGGAGAACCCATAAAATTATTTATTTCCCAATGAAGTATAGAAAGAAATGATCACTTATCTAAGAATAAACGAGAGGGAGCCGGCGTTTAATAAAAACCGGCATTGTACTAATGTGGGTCGGCACTGGTAGACCTGCTAGGTCCACGCATCAGCGGGCACCCGGCCACACAGGGCACCCAGAATATCCCATGGGGAGTGTGGAGTCGGACAGTCCCGGACACAGTAGACAGTCACATCTTCACTTGGCTGTTCCCCTCATCACAGTCTCCATCTTGTGAGAGACATATTATGACATTTGGGAGCTCAACTGAACTAAAACTTTATCTAGATTTAACGCAAAACCAAAAATGTAAAGGAGGCATGACATGGGTGCTCTATGTGACAAGTGAACATCTGACTCATAAACCAAGTGAGGGTATCAGCACTAACCCACGTTATACACTAGTAAGCGTTCACTCTTGGCAAATGTCATTCCTGCAAAGAATTGACAGATGAAGACCAATAACACAGGCACAAATAATAAAACAGAATCCTCCAAAATGGCAATGCAAATATCTTACTCCTAACAACTAAACTGCATGTTACATTATGAAATAAGACCATGGCAACCTAATTAGATGTGACAAATCAAGCCCCCTCAGATAAACTAATTAGAAACCAAATAAAATACACATTTATATTCACTCCTTTTTAACAACAAACCTCACCCTAAACCCATACTGTGCTGAAATAGCTAATGTGAGGGTGATTAGCATTGACAATGGAAAACCAAACACCATGAACAGGAAGACTTAGTGCTAAAAACAGTAGTTGGGATGAAAACTGTTAAGGTCCCTAAAAATGTACATCTTTCATTTGA